GAATTTAAATATTTGTAAGTTTTTATAAGTAATTTATCTCAAACGCTGGAGAGAGGACACCACTATCAAGTTTCAGCCCTGGTTTGAAAAATCGTAGATCCGGGGCGGTTTTCATCTTCGTTTTAATATAAAACAATGTATAGATTCCTCTATCTGACACTGTGTGACTCCTATCACTGTCCCTTTCAGAGAGAGAAAGCTATGCTCCAGCATATATGAGCAAGCACGCCCAGAAAATACCACGCCTCACTGGAAACCAGTATTAAGTATTTCTTTTCACTCCCTTTAACAACAATTCTCTCACACAAATGGCAACGAACTTGTATCTCTTAAGTTGCAGTCCATGGGCGGCAGTAGTCACTATTCATTAGGTGAGCCAGGACAACAGTACGGCAAAGAAAAGGTACACTTAAAACAAACCCAAACGTCTGATCAGCGTGGTATAGTATGCCAAAACCTAATTTCTAAGGAGAGGCCTATTTCCAGCAGTGGACTATTAAAAGCTGTTGATGATGATGATGATGAAAAACTATAGTCTGTTGTCTGCTAATCTCCTTTAAAGGTATAATCGTCTATACCTATGACGTCAGTTTTTATGTCGTGCACAAAAGCTGATAGAAAACAATACATTTAAAGCATTCCTAAAAAAAATGAGAGTCAGTTTTTAGTATCTGTCAAATAAAATAATAAAATATTTATCTGTCAACCTCATCCATGTTTAGATTACTCTATAGCTCACGTGAAAGAATTATAAATATTGCTGATATTTTTAACATATACATTGTTTCTTTATATTCCCACTACCTCAAATGTTCATATTCACAGATATTCAATCAGAACTGAATGAACTTAACTAAAGAATTGTTGCAATTCGTTATATAGAAATACCGGGAAAATATCCCGCGCTTTTGGCTAGTTGACAGAACTGCCATTATTTTTTCTTTTTTTTTAAATCGATCGATTGTGGTTCGAGATGATTTAGTAGGCCGGCACGCACATTTGTTTCAAATCTATGACTCGGCAAATCTATGACATAAAGATTACATTATCTATGTATTACCTTATAATCTTTAATATATTATTAGTCTCATTCGGGTTTTAAATTTTTTATACTAGTTTTATATACCTACTCACAAACAACCACATTCGGCTTATAACGTCCCACGCCCGGCCGTCTAATTTCAAAATAGCCAAACCCTGTACTTACTACAGTAACAAATCTGCTGATTTATAAACTTATAAATTACACCCAGACACTGTGCAAATAATCTTGCTAAAATTTAACCTGAGTGGGAATCAAACCCACGATCTACTGCTCAGCAGTCTGGTTCACTCGCCCGTTTATAACAGGATTCTAGTAGAATATACTATAGATACAAGTAAAATAATAATATAGTTAGATTACAGCTGCAATACCAACCCGTCTGGCCATCGTGGTATAGTAGGCCAAAACCCCCTTTCTAAGGAGAGGCTTATGTCCAGCAGTGGACTATTAAAGGCTGTTGATGTGACAGCTGCAATATTACGCTGAAGTGGATTGGCAAGTCAAATCAGTATCTAAATTTTGAGTCTATGTTTTGTGACAACTTAAAAAAAACTGTTTGACGTCATACTTTTTACTGTCAAATTTTTTACTTTTAATATTTTGTTTTACTATATTCTACATAACTTTAATTTCTAAAAAGAGTCGCATATTTTATTAAAACCGCAGACGTCGCTATTTTTGCAATATTTTTTGTTGCGGAGTTCGTTGCAGTATCCACTTCCCTATTATTAATAAACTAGGTGACATGCGCACGGAGTGATGCCGCGCTGTGAAGTTTCGGACGCTGACACACGGATTTCATGAACTGTGAACCCTTAATAGTGTGAATTTGGTCTTACATTTTTATTATGTTCGTTATCAAACAAAGGCATATAAAATTTTAATTTTCAGATAATTTCTTTATTTTAGTATTTCGTCGGCAGCAACTTGCTTTAACTTTACAATTCAATACTATATAAACAATATGCTATTCGTTCTAGTTTCCAATATTGCCTCGTTTAATTTTCTGACTGTGTGCGGAGGCAGCAATTGGCTTTTACCGATTTCTAGTTGAACAATTGTGAGTATTTAATAAGCCAATGTTTATCAATATGAGACCATAGGCTTGAATGTATGCATGTTCTTTACTTTCAGTGAGATTTTGTCTCTACGAGTTTGAAGATAAGACAGGGAAGATTAGGAAGAAGAAGCAAGTATATCAAGTCATTGTTCGTTTATTTTAAATGTTTAATAAGAACCTTTTTGGCTTTAAGTTAGGTTAGAAGTTCATAGCTAATAGTTTTGGATACAAAAATATTGAGTTTTGTATTCTAACCTTGTTTCCAAACTGTCCACTTGCAATATACATAGTAATGTTTAATGAAGAGGTAGAGACCACCAGACAATGCAACAAAAACATATTTCAATGCCATCTAACGAAAATACACCAAACTACGAAGTAACTGCTAATCCTGTATCACGATGTGAAAAGTTCTTACGCCGATTAGCAAATACATTAGTTCTCAATGTTAACCCTAGAACCGCGGTCAGCCAGGCACGATAACCTCGCCTTGTTGGGTGATCCTCCCTTTTTTTCCAGGGAAATGCACCCGTTCCTTCACAAAGATATATAATGCTGAGATAACTTTAAAAATAATGTTCAGAAAATATGCAAATCATTGATTGTGATTACAAATAGAAAATAAGTTTCCATTTTCTGATTTTTTACGAAATAACTGCTTATATAATCGATGTGCATAGTCTGGTACACCAAATCTGATAAATAACCACACCCTTCAGTAGCAAGCTGATTTAGTTTTCCCAAAATAAAGCGGTTTTACAAACAGATATTGTTTTATAGTCATTATCGATTGATTAATTAAATAGATAATATTTCTATCACAGATCGGAGATGGTGATAGCCTTTCTTCTTTTTAATTATCTCTATTTAATTTCTGATAAATTGTTTGGTTTTCGTGTTACTCTAAATATTTAGTTGTATCTTTTTTTTTTAAACTTTAAAAACTGTTACAAATAGACATTCTAATTTCATTAGAAAAATAATAATAATAAGTAATAAATGTAGGAATATAAATTTTAGCTAAATAAAATTGATACTATAATAAATTAGGAACCTACTAAACATACATAATCATTTTCATCAACAGCCTTTAATAGTCCACTGCTAGACATACGTCTCTCCTTAGAAAGGGACGTTTTGGCCTTCTATACCACGCCGGCAGATGGGTTGGTTTACAGTTTGTTTGAAGTTTTCTTTCCCTTTGCAGTGGTGTTGTACTGCGTAGTTTGCTCCCTTCGTCGGCTTTTGCACTCACGAGATAAATAGGGGTAGTGATACTCCGTATTCTTAATTCGTCACCACACGGACAATACAACACAATAACGTTACAATACAATACAATAAAGTTGTAACATAGTTTAAATAAAAATATACTTAGGTACTATCGTCCCAAATACAGTAAATTTTTCTTGGGGCTCTCCGAATTCTAAGTTCTGTGTTTAATAAACAGGTCATAGTCGATTTAGGGAGAATGAAGTCTTATGTACATGTTAATATGGACATGGCTCAGAGATTTCGATATTAATTTATATATATTTTTTCAATAAATTTCCCTATTAAAAGAATTTGTCACAGTTGCATCATTATGCAACGGTATAGTTAAATTTACTTAACCAGCTTAGTAGGCCAACACCTCCTTTCTAAGGAGAAGCATATGTCCAGCAGTGAACTATTAAAGGCTGATGATGATGATGACTTTACACCGAATGTCTGTAAGGCCACATAACGCCCATTAGTGTTGACGCGTGGCTCTCTTACAGTAACCGAATGAAATTATTAAACGATTTTTAGGATTCCAAGCTGCTTGGATAGATAGAGGTATAATCAACTAACAAATAAGAGACAATCAAGTTATGAATGAAATTCATGAATAAATGTAAACGTATTATCTCTATTTGCTCTGCCTGCCTCGATGGTGCAGTGATAGTGGGTTCTATTCCTTGGTCGGACCAAATGTTTGTATAATCTGCAAGTATTTGTTTCTTGGTTTGGGTGTTTTACATGTTTAATATTATTTTGTATTTGACTTCACGGATGGCGTAATGGTTTAAGCGGTTGCCACGCCGCTTCCTACTCCGCCGAGTGTTGTGGGTCCAATCCCCACATAGGACGACACTTTGTGTGATCCACAAATTGTTGTTCTGAGTCTGGGTGTGCCCGTTTTATTTTTCATTTTTAAAGTCCCCAGCGACACAGGAACAGATTCCTAATGCAATACCGGCAAAAAAATATATATGCAACTTTCATAGTACAAGCTCTGGTTAGTTTGAAAATAGGGCTGCTGTTATTTCTTCTTTATTTAATGTAAACCTGATTATCGCATACCCTTTTTCATTATCATTGATTTTAAAGTTTTAAGTCTAAAAATCTTTAATACTATCAATGACAAAGATATTCTCACTCTCTCTGACCTCTTTCAATTATTGTCCCTTGTCTCATATGTACCTCCTGTTAACAGTACTAATTGTAATTCACAACAAAACGCTATTGTTGATATTCCAATTTTAAATATTTAAAAAGATCGAAGATGAATTTAACAACACAAAACTGTCAGACATTTTTCTATACTCCTCTATAGTATATCTAGCAGCACTATGAACTGATAACATAAATAAATAGTTGTTCATCGTAACGAGCAGTATGTCACAAATATACCTATTGTCACACAAAAGTAAGTACGAGCGTCTGTAGTGTAGGCCTTACGGACCGAACGGCAGTGCACGCGGCTGATAAAAAAAAGAAAAATGTATAAAAACTGGACAGTTTTGCATACAAGTATTAGATCCGCTGCGTGTGTGTGATGGTGAACTACTTCCTTAGTAAATATTTTTACTAAATATTTAAAAAAAATAAAAACCGTCAAAAGTAGCGGGAAACTTTTTTTTAAATTTCAAAATGGTGGCGTTTGTTCTTTTCTTCCTAATTAGTTTTGCCGGTAAGTAAATTATGGTATTGGGTTTAACACGGCTTGATGTGACCATAATATTTCGGGTAAATAATAAATATTTGTTTATCGAGCCAATAATTTAAAAAAGATGATCCATCTTTTAAACATTTTAGGAGCGTCGCGATTTCTTTCCTTTATTTTTTTATTATCATAATGAGTAGAGACCCAATCTGTTGTAATTTCCATTCTTTTCAAATAATAGCGTTTATTTGTTTAAGCATAATTTGGGCGCGAATAAACTAAACATTAGATAAAGAACACATAATGAAAGGCCTAACTATGCATTCCTTTTCGTAATTTAATATATATATGTATGATATTTCTCTGTTATTTTTTAATCGACTTCCAAAAAAGGAGGAGGAGGTTTTCGATTCCACTGTCTTTTTTTTGTTTATTATCTTAGAACTCCCACCATTTATAAACCGATTTGGAAAACTCTTTCTTTATTTGGGAGAGTATACTCCCGCGACACAAGATACATATATTCCTAATGCGGGAGTTGTCTTTGAAAAAAAAGTGATAAATATTTTTTAATTTAAGTATCTCTTTTTTCTTTTCTAATTTCTTACGGGTCATGGTATCTCTTTTTTCTTTTCTAATTTCTTACGGGTCATGGTAACTTTAAGAGCATGCTTTATTCATTTAAATTAGTCGAGTCACCAGTGTGTCAATGCTCAACACCTAACTCTCACTATGAACAGTCTGCTCATCATATCCTCTGGGAATGTAGTCTTTGGTATAATGAACGTAATATAATGCTGAATAGCTTACAGGTGATATCTGGGGCGGTATACTATGGGGATCTTGTGTCAACTAGGGTGAATTTCCGTGCGTTTAGGCGATTCTGCCATACATATTATAGAAATCAAATATAGCTCACCTAGGACCCGTAATATTTTGTGGCCGTGGTGCTTCCCTGTTTAAAATGGTGGTTGCCCATTTTACTTCATTTTGTCTCCCGCTTTGCTAAGGAGGGAAGTGGATTTACTGTATTTCCAACTCCTCCAATTTTCTTCTGATTGATTTCGTTGCGAGTTCCAAGACAGTGTAATTTCTTCCTGGGACTTCCCGAGTGTCATAACTCGGTGTGTTCGTGGGTCACTGCTGTGGATCCTGGTGTACAGGAGTTACAGTGGTGGGCGTGTGGGTGGGATTAGTCCCATTGTAAAAAAAAGTATCTCTTTTTATAATATATCGTTTTGATGTTTTAGTTTTCAAGTGACGCCATAAATTTATATACTTATTACTGATATTAAAACTTCAATAGTAAATCAAACTATTAACGTTACGATTAGGAATAGTAACCGATAAGTAATAGGCATCATAAATCATTTATAACAACGTAATTTTAAATAGAAATTAAAATATATACTAAAACATTAATATTAATAAAATAATAGTGGAATCGCATCCAAACTTACATTTGGTTGGATACCATATCTGGAGTGGTTGTCTCAATGTATTATCTCGTCAAAGCCAGTTAAAGTCAATAAATTTTAATATCATAAAAAAAATGTTTGAAATCGACTTTTATGTACACTCTAAAGTCATAGATCAAGGCACCCAATGGCAACAATCTGATTAGTCAAGAATTGTAACTTCGTGTTTCAGTATCATCGCCTAAATTTAATATCACGAAAAACCTAAAAAAAAAAAACGAAATTAAACTAAACTAAACTAATTTCCAAAACTTCAGTAAGATGACGTATCTATAATGTCTATTAAAATAACTAACCATAAAAATAACCTAAAATAACTAAATATAACGTGTCTTAGGTATCAAACTATCTGTTAAAGAGAGTTTAGCGGAGAATGACAAGGTTACACTTATTTGTTATTATTAAAAGGCTGTTTAGTTTTTAGTTTCACCGTGTCTGTTTGCCCACGGCTTAATTTGAAGACTGTAAGTTCTAGAAATCTTTAAGTTTACATAGACATAAATAATAAACAAGCTGACAAGTTTGAAAAATAAAATGATCTTCTTTACACATGAAGTGGGAATGAATTATTTTCTCTTCTATACCATAGAGGGACTCGTAGTAACCGAGCAGGTTAACATATTGCTATTTAAGCAATCCTAGCCTGGTCGGTCTATGGATGGGTGACCATGCTTAAAACATTGAGACCCCTTCATGCCTCGGAAAGCTCGTTAAGCCATTCGAACATCTGTGGCAATCCTTGGAGTCCTAAAAAGTTCAGCAACAGTATTTTTACAGAACTTCGATATCGCCTAGCACTTGGATTGTGGAGGCCCAATAGCAATCGCTCCTCGTAAAAAATCGAAGTTCAGCCGTATCGTAGTAGAGACTTAAAGCCGACCCCAACCTAGTTTGAGAAAAAGCTCGGAGGAACCATAGTCATCATGAACAGCCTTTAATAGTCCACTGCTGGACATAGGCCTCCCCTTAGAAAGGAGGTTTTGGCCTACTATACCACGCTGGCCAGACGGGTTGGTTGGAAAACTACGCAGGACAACAACACTGCAGAGAGAAGGAAAACTTGAAACAAACCCTATACCATAGTGCGTGTCATTATTGAATGACCTTTTTATTTTTAATAATATTGAGAGTCAATACTTTTTTTAATATAAGGAGTTAACTGACTGCACGAAAGGCGTAGTGGTTTAAGCTGTCACCCCACCGCTTTCTACTGCACTGAGTGTTGAGGGTTCGATCCCCACATACTCAGGACATCACTTTGTGAAATCCACAAATTGCTGTTCTGAGTCTGGGTGTTCTTTGTGTCCATTTCATGTATGTTTGTAAAGTCCTTCGCGACATACTCGTAGGATTTATTCCTAGTGCGGGTGTTGTCTTTAAAAAAAAAGAAAAGAACTATGAACCTCGACGTGACCTGACAAATACTGCCGATTTTATTTTATTAAAATTGGAAGTATTGATTAGGAAGAACTTCGGTTGTACAACAAGGATTATATGATATTTATTGCACTATTGATATCATATAGATAGGGTATAAATAAATTTACAGTTATTTATTAATATATCATTCAAATGGATCCTAAAACTTACTCCTATAGAAATTACCTTTCTATTTTTTTGAAATCATAATCTGAAACAATAGTGCGTGGGATTCCACCACCTCATTATGTAAGGGCAATACGATCTCCTGCCTTTATGAGCTCTTACAGCACAAGCACATAGGTTATTACAGCTTCAAAAAAAGAGACCACTGCGCCCCAACCCTCCTCACTCACCACCATCGCAGTAATGATTGCTGGCAGGGGTCAGATGTAACCTAGAAAGGACCTTTGTATGACAATTCAAATGCAACAGTATAACAAAAAAACTTAACCTTGAGACCACGACATGAGACTCGTGAAGATCCTACCAACGTAACATCTTACCTTTAGACCCCGGTGTTTTTGTATCTTCTGAAAGTTTAGCGTTACTGGCGGCTTTATCAGTTTCCAATAAAAAATAATTATCGAAATAGGTTGACGTGATATTGAGTTATTCGTCTGTTTGTCGCGAACATACTGAATGCAAATTTAAGACTAATAAGATTTTCTCATGGAAGCCATCATCAGAACTGAACCAAATTGGACCAAACGGGAAGCACCAGCTTTCAAATAAAAAAAGAATCATTAAAATCGATTCACCTAGTCAAAAGTTCTGAGGTAACAAACATAAAAAAAAAACAGTCGAATTGAGAACCTCCTCCTTTTTTTGAAGTCGGTTAAAAATCACGATGAATCACAGTCATCAATCGCTACTAAAATATGACTAAATCTGAATCATCGTGAATTTGAACGGACTTAATCAGATTTAGATGAGATCAGATCAGAGAAAGCAGATTGATCAGATTATCTGTGTGGTGTGGATTAAGAATACGGAGTGTCACCACTCCTATTCATGTCTTGGGTGTCGTAAAAGCCGACTAAAGGAGCAAACTAGGCAGGACAACAGCCCTGCAATAAGAAGGAAAACTTGAAACAAACCCTATTCCAAGTATAGTAGGTCAAAACCTTGTTTCTAGAGAGAGGCCTATGTTCAAAAGTGGTCTATTAAAGGCTATTGATGATATGAATCAAATTGGCTTAGGCATACACATCTAAAATAAAAACTGTCATTACAACAGCAACAAACATTGTTATAAGAACTTTGATAATGTAATAAAATCATTCGTGTAATAAAATATGTAATATCTTCATTTCTACATTACAAATAATTTTACTCAATTTTTCGACATAAAGTAATACTGGACTCAGTCTTTCCCTTTCCATTTATCCCAATAGGATAGATGACTGTAAATTTAAAATCAATATCATATTTAATCAAAACCACCAAATACCACGAAATACCACAGCATGACGTCACACCTTACTGTTGTCAAATCATTCATTTTTAAGACAGCTATTGACAATCATAAACTAATTTAAAAATATTAAAATAAAATCGGAGGGAACTTTTACACTATTGCAAATAGTAGTAGAGTTGTCTTTAAAAAAAAAGATATAGTATTTTATTACGCGAACTGCCATTCCAATTCATTCAATTACTTTATTATACCAAATACTTAAATGACGTACAAAAAAAATATATATTAAACAAAGAGATTGGCATGCTAAATTTAAAATTACTTACTTTTAAATTTAAAAAATGCACTAAAATAAGGTCACAAGTAACTAACATGCTGCGTAATTAGTAATAAGTTTAGTAATTTTTAAGCAATATCATACAAACTAACACGAAAAACCGTATTAATTTCGTAATTTAACGTAAACTTACGAAATGTTTGTATATCAGAATCAATGCTAGAACATGTGGCTTCACTTAACATTGGACATAAACACACTTCATTATCTTGATTCTAATTTTTGTAATATTGTTACAGATTTAAGTCAACAAGCGGAATGGTCTTACTATTGTAAGTATTGCTTCATTTCTAAACATATTTCTTAGCGTTCCTTGAATTCACAGTGCGGGTGCCGGGTTCATCGCGTGATACGACTTCGACAGCGCCTAGGGCTTGCGACCTATGTATAAGTTTAGGGAGTACTCCTTGCGACGCGTCAGCGCTCACCTCCACTGTCCGCTGTGTTACCCCCTCTACCTTACCATATTTGATACGAGCCGAGCAATGCCGGTTTGGATATTCATTTAAGAAAAGACCTTACTGGCCTTGGCAATCCAAGGTCTTTTAGTAGGTTGTAGAGGGATTTAGCTGGTATACACCTCGCACCCACTTCCACGGCATACAAAGCACCGAAATAACCACAAAAACCTATAAATATAAAATTACTACCCACCACTGAGGGGGTCAAATAAGGGATGATACAACCGTGTATGGGACTTCGTCATTTTCAAAGTTAGAAACATGAAATAAGACACACGACAAACAATCACGCGACTGAACCCGCGGGCAATAGCTGGTTATTCATAAAAATATTGTTTAAGCCTTTGTACAAACTGAAATACGGTAAAGCAAACTAATGAAAGTAGGTCATCATGAAATGCAGGTTCAAAACTGGAGCAGCTTTAAAGCGGGAACATCGTGCAAATTTAATATAAATGTTTTCAAAGTTTTCTTCATTCAGTTTGGTGTAAAACCCTCTTTAATGACATAATTAAGGCCAATAAATATTTCACAGGGAACTAGTTGCTAATTTACAAACACTAAAATAAAAACACATCCGTGCCAGTAAAGTAAAAAAACAACTGCCCTGCAAATCAAAAAACTAATTACCATACATCATCCTCGTGGATGTTTTGTCCCATTCATGAGAATTTTTGATGGAACAAACAAACTCACAAATACATGTACATAAACCCTCTAAACACTGCCTTCAGCAGTTGTGTCAATAATAAACACATTATTTGTAAACGATTTTGCCACATTTGTAAGGTATTAAATCTGTTCGGTTACACGTCATTTCAACCGAAATGCACCGATTGTGGTCATAGGCAGACTTTTAACGAGTTAAAACCTAATAGACATCGTGCCCTATGTTCTCATGAAAATACATAATTTGTGAAAGCTTAAAAATAAGTTTAAAATATCTCTAGTAATTTAGTAATAAAAATAGACACAAACATATCTTACATGACTTGTGATTTGTATCATTTTAATTTTAACTGACTTAAAAAAGAACAGTTTTTTTTCTAAATAACTAGCGTGTAATAAAAAAAATATATGGCGCTATATATCTGGATGGTAATTTAGGTTACTACTTTTGAATAAGAGAAACTTCATTTTTATCAATTTTGGCCATAAAATGCGTAAATTTCACCTGTGCGCGACGGATATTGTCCCGTCCTAGAAGAATTCCAGCATAAGATATTTTTTCCCAAGTGGCATTTAATACAAATTGCGGAGGCACTTAATTAGAAATTACGACTCCGCTGTCATGAACATCCTGTAATAATAGACTAGGAAACGTACATCTCACTCAAAAGCAACATTACATTCTTCTTAACGAAAAAGTCGGGCATTATTATCTCATAGTCCTGTCACAGAGAAGAAAATAGTAACGTCTAAACAGATTCAACACCCGCATACCCTACCTAGAAAGTACCTACGCTACAATAACCTCCTAGACTTTAATTTGCCTAGTAGGCGTTAGCTGCAAACAGAAATATATTTTGTGCACACTTATTGAAAGTTAAAAACGCTTTGCCTACTGCACAACTATCGTATTGTTTGTTTCTTGTCACAGATTTTTCAACATTTTTGTAAATACAGTGCTTTTTAAAATGTGAATAAATCTACAGTTATAGCGAACTAAATTAATCACGGTCTCTTCAGCAAGATAGCTGTATTACTCATTCTATCAGAAAATCTTCTAATGTTTTAAGTAATATTTTAATTTCTTGTCTTTCTTATATACAGATGAAACAGAATGGCCCGGAATATGCAGGACGGGTACGCAGCAGTCGCCCATTAACATTATGACCCAATCGGCTGTACTTGACGAAAATCACACACACATCAAAGGACCTCTTCAGTTCCGAGGATATAACAGCGTTAAAGTCCGTGGAGAAAATAATGGCCATACTTGTAAGTAAATAATTATGCACTTATAAATCATGTTATTGCAATTTTCGAAATGTGTCTAGTGGAAAGGTCAAAAGAGCTAGAATATTGTGTCTCAAGACTTGAATGAGACTAAGTCTGCCCTTCGTCTTGTGTTGGCAGAAGCCACTCAAACAGCGGAAATTATTAGCAATAGATGATGATGACAGTGCAAGTGGTGCAACTTAATAATTCGATTTATGTAGAAATGAGTCATCAAGAGAAGGAAAGCTTGACACAAACCCTATACTAACCCATCTGGCCAGCGTGGTATAGTAAGCCAAACCCTCCTTTCTAAGGAGAGGCCTATGTTTAGCAGTGGACTATTAAAAGTTGTTGATGATGATGGCAATATAATATTTATTTAGGTATTTTTTTCCAAAATTGCTTAACACGATTTGCCACAGATGAATAAAAGATGAAATGTAACTTTGGTAAACAACAAGAAAGTGATCAGGTTTTTGTTTAACATGTGGGATATGAAGAAACTTAACATATTATAGAATAATGATAATAAATTATTTTGTTTACACATTTTACATAATTCTTTTCTTGTTATGTATGAGCGAAGCATGGATACATAGGTCTAATAAATAATCCGCAAGGAGCCAACGCCAACGCCTGGGTGCCACCACTGCGAAGGCCAGACCGTGGACACGGCTCTCCACACGCTGGCAGAGTGCCCGGCGTGGGTTGAGCAGAGGCGAGACCTCGTGGCGGCCATCGGAGTGGGAGTTCTCTCGCTCGATAGCCTGATTGCGGCTATCGTGCGGAGCGAGAGTGCGTGGAACTCTGCCGTCTTCTTCTGCGAGCAAGTCGAGCATAACTTGCTCGCAGAAGAAGACGGCAGAGCGGGACCGGGAGAGGTTTAGGACTCTCCCGGCCCGCCAGGCCCGGGAACGGGCCAGGTACCGCAGGCGACTCAGGCGCCGGAGGTTGCAGAACGACCTCCATCCTCCATAAGCGCAGGCCGGGGGGTGACAGGTGAGGCCATCTGTCACCCTAGCAGAAGCAGGCCGGGGTGGCGACGAGCGCGTTACGAAGCGCGCTCGCTTCCACAGGGAACATGGGGTTCCCACACGGGTGGGGGTTGTCTACTCGTCTGTAGATGACCCGAGGTATGTCGGGGCACCAGGGACTTCCTTTCTAGGGTATACCTGGTTCCCCGGCTATTAGTACCCGAGACGGCGTGCGGTTTTAGTCGGTTCGAGTCCGACATGCCACCGACACCGGTGGTATCCGAGGGGATTTCCGTACGGAAAAAAATAAAAATAAAAAATAATAATAAATAAGCCGCTAAGTAGTTGCCATCTGCATCAGTGTATCTTTGATACTCGAACTCGTCAAGTACATAATTCCTGGTTGATCTAATTGTATTATTTTGTGCTTAATAGTAAAATGGGGTGTCGACGGTCAAGAATCTCAACCAGTGTTGTCTGGTGGCCCTTTGAACGGCACCTATACATTCATGCAGTTCCATCTTCACTGGCTATCTGAACACGCAATAGACGGCATGAAGTAAGTGTTCAAATTTTGTTGTTTTTAAAACTAAAAATGGCTTTTAGCAATCAGTTTCTTTCATTATAAACGCTGGTGTAAAACATTAAATTGTCGTTTTTAAAATATTTTAAAAGATTTGTTACTCTGTAAAAGATCTGGCTGATTTCCTATATAGCTGGCCTCTGCCTACCTGCCTTCGTTTAACCAATTGCGAAGTTAAGCAATTCTAGCCAGGTCAGTCTAAGGACGGGTGACCATTTTTTAAATATTGAGACCAAAGTACAAAGTAAATTGGAGTAAGGATAGAGCGAGGGACATAGAATAAGGGATGAAGAAACAAGAGTGCACTAATTCAAAGAGATCGGGATCTCGTACACATGTCCTCTTTTCTTTTGTTTTTTTTTATTATTTTTACTCTGCTGCTCAGAAAATCACGTCCACCTACCAGTTACACTAGTCTATTAACGAAGTTTGGACGACCGAATGGCGTAGTGGTTTGTGTAACGGACTGCTATTCCAAAGGTCGCGGGTTCGATTCCCGCTCAAGTCAAACATTTGTGTGCATGAACATTTAATGTTTGATTTAGTCTGGGTGTTTCTATGTATAATAAGTATGTATTTACAAAAAAAAAAAGTATATATGTATTTATATCAGTTATCTAGTACCCATAGTACAAGCTCTGCTTAGTTTGGGACTAGATGGCGTTGTGTGAATGTGGTAAAAAAAAAAAAAAAAAAAAAAAAACTGATAGATAAAGTCCCTAGAGTATCAAGTTCGTTTCAAAACTTATCGAGGAGTTGGTAAAGCGTGAATAATGCTAATTGGATTTTGAAAAAAGGATGTTTATTTTCACCAGGATCGATTTTTTTTCTGCCCTATCATCTTAGGTATCATTAGTAGTATAACTAGTCTGTTTTCGTTTTCGGACGTGGTTGCCAAATATCCTGTGTAAAAGAACCTCCCAGTAACATTCGAGTGTTGAGTAGGTATGACAAATTTATTCACAATTGGTTGAATTGAACTATGCATTAGCGACAAAATTGATAAATTACTTGACGATTTTATTGGAAAATTGATCACCGGACAGGATTAAACTACCTGTACATTACAGGATTAAACTTAAACGTGAAGTTATGCTCTACGGACCTATTGGTCCAGTGGTTGGTGATTCTGGCTAGAGCCAGAGGTCGTGGGTTCGATTCCCACCCAGGGGAAAAAAATATGTTATGAACACGATCGTTTGTTCTATGTCTGAGTTTAAGTTATCTATAATATATACATATTTAGAAATATATAAGTATGTTGTGTCGCGGTCCGTGTGTCCGTGTGGTGCCGGATTAAGAATACTGAGTGTCACCACCCATATTCATCCCTTGGGTGTCGTAAGACCCGACTAAGGAAGCAAACTACGCTACACAACAATGCAAAGAGAAGGAAAACTTGACACAAAGCCTATACCAACCCGTTTGGCCAACGTGATATAGTAGGCCAACACCTCCTTTCTAAGGAGAGGCCTATGTCCAGCAGTGGATTATTAAAGGGTGTTGATGATGATGATCATGATGTGAAGATGTGTAAGGTTATTAATGGTTTTCTTCAGTAAAGTTTCGCTCTAGACTCGCTATCTTCAATAACAAAAGGTTCCATTACTGCCAGTCATTAAAAGCTTTCAAAAATATGCAAAGTCATTATTCGTTTTAGTAAGTATCATACGGCGGTTCAGCAAAATTATCCCGTGAGAGATAAAATTTACATATTTTCGTAATTTGGTGCAAATTTATGCAACGTAGGCTTTTCTGTATTCTCCAATGTATTCTAAAACTCGTATTAGGGAATTATGAAAATATTTGAAGTATGTTCTCATATGAATTCATGCATTTTAAGTAGGCATGTATATGTTAGACAAAGTTCTAAATGGTGGCGTTATCAAGTTTGAAGCATTCGAATTTTGCATTAGTTTTACGACAGATGGACAGAATTGAAATGAAATGATGAAATGAAATGATATTTATTTCTGTAAGTAAATCTTTTCAGATATTTTTACAAGTCGGACTTTACAGCTAGAAGGAGCCGGCATTTCCTAAGACTCACTCTGGGAAGAAACCCCGAAACAAACCACAGAGGTGTCTTTTTTTTTTAAGTCCGTAAACAAAGTTAAATAAAACTGTGCGAGTACAGTATAGGGTCTGGATAGGCCTTTTGAGGAAAGGACCATAGTTTTGAGTCAACCTGTCCATACAGGCAATTACATCAGCAACATAAGTACATTACTAAACATTAATGTTCTTTTATCATTAATGTGCACTAAGTAGAGTATCAGACCATTAACATTGTAATTATTACAAGTATTCAGATATAGTGTTGAATAGAGTACCTAAGTTACACATAGGTATTATCAGACAGTGAACTTTGATTAATGTTTAGATAATTTAAATACATAGATTGAGTGCTTGTTACGCATAACAAAAACTTTTTTCACAAATCAGCCACAGAGGTTATAATACACGAACAGTGTCAATTTTTTTATGGCGTAGGGGGCAGTCACCTGATGATAAGTGACGACCGCCACCCATGGACATGTGCAAATTGAGAGTCACAAATGCGTTGCCTCCTTTGAAACCTTCCCCCTCTCCAGAATCCGGAGGTGCTTTTTTTTTGTTTTTATATTTTCACACATATCACACACGGCTGTCTGATCCCAAACTAGGCAGAGCCTATACTGTGGTAACCAGACTGCTGAAACTGAAACGCGATCAGAGTCTTTAAACAGTTTTTTATGAATTTTATAATTATTTCACGGGCCTGTTGGTCTAGTGGTTAGTGACCTTGACTGCTAAGCCGGAGGTTCGATGCCCACCTAGAATAAATATTGTGTGACTCTCAGTAAAACAGCTTCCCAGAACCCAACTCCGCACCTTTCCTTAACGGTTATAAGGGGGGCCAACGCACTTATAACCCTTAAGTTGCATTTGTAAATGGGCGGGAGTGGTCACTTAATATCAGGGGACCAGTCTGCTCGTTTTTTTTTCTATTAAAACAAAAAAAAACAAAAAGACAGTTTTTTTTTCCGGCGTTTTGTTTCATCATCATCATCAAGAGCCTTTGATAGTCCACTGCTGGACATAGGCCTCTCCTTAGAAAGGAGGTTTTGGCCTACTATACCCCGCTGACCAGACGGGTTGCTTTTGTTTAGTTTTAGTAAATTGATGTAATTTTCTGAACCGAAGAATTCAGTTAGGTTAGGCAGCGTTTAGAAAGCTACGTTGAGTCTTCTCATCGTCGATCCAACAGTGCCTTGAGACGAAAGTCTTCAATTAGTGCGTCTTACCCGTCATGACATACGGAACCGAAACGTGGACACTTACGGTGCGGCTGGTCCACAAGTTCAAAGTCACGGGGTCGTATCGGGTATTACGTGATCCGGCAGAGAATCAAGGTCACCGACATAGCCTACCGGATTAGCAGGCTGAAGTGACAGTGGGCTGGCCATATTAGCCGCAGAACCGACAACCGTTGAGTGAAGACCGCATCTCGGTAGGGCGCCCACAGGCCAGGTGCAGTTTCGATTTGCGCAAGATGGCTCACAGGAGCTGGATGCGATAAGCTTAAAATCGATCTAAGTGGCGTGCAATGGAAGAGACCTACGTATAGCAGTGGATTTCGATAGGCGGATGATGATGTAATTTTAATTGTACTGTGTGTTGTGTATTGGAGCGTATCATTGGTACCATCGTCTGTCTGTTCATTTTCGGCAGCATTTTCTAACACCATTATAGAGAGAATACAAAGAGAGAGAGAGGGAATAAGAGAAGAAAAGAGAATCTTTGTTGGAAGTTACCGGAGAGAAGAAAATACCTTTCTTTACCTAAGGGCCTTTTTATAATTAAATCCATATATTTTTCTGATGGTTAGAAGGATTTAAATTCGCGGTATTTCTACTGATACGAGTCGTTATCGATACATTGTTTACAAATTTATTTGTAATGAAGTAATCTAATTTAAAAACATTCAACAAATCAAATATAAAGGTAATTAATGAAGGATTTATAACAGTTCTTCGTTTTATAGACTATCATGATAAATAGAGTAAAGCAAAATGGCCAGAGAAAAGGAAGATAAACCAAACTCCAACAAACAACTGTTTATCAAACTCAATGTGAAACCAAAGTCCCAGTACATTCCCCACATCAGGAAGTTGTCTGCCTTCAGTGTGTTCAAACAGGCGACATTTCCACTACAGAGAAAATATCTTTATCTAAACGTAGCCGGTTACAAAATTAAAGTTTATCTTTATACAAATCAAAGCGTTAAATGTTATGTCAGTTTGTGATAATATTATCAGCTGTTTGACTTAGATTAACTCGAGTGACACAATGACATTGTCTTTGTTGACTTTTTATTTTGTAAGTGTGCCATTTATTGGCTTTTATTTAAGTTTTTATACGTTTCTAAAATAATGAAAATTAATTTTTAAAGCCAAATTTAATGTTGTGGTTTGGATTTTTACTTTTTTGTAAGCATTATTTTGACGGGTCTATTGGTCTTATAAGTGAGTTGTGGGTTACAAGAACACAAGTGTGGGTGCAAGAAGCAAAACAGGACAAGAAGCAAATATTGTATTTTTGAAAAACCTAATAATTTTCTACACCTTTACTTTGTGTTTCTGTATGCTGTAATCTGCTGCCATTGCTGTGGTTATTCGGTTTTGGATAATGTTTGCACAATATTTCTGATATTAGGAAACATTTCCAAAACTTATCTTTCTAAAACTAAATTTAACTACTAACTACTGACTACTAATTTAACTTATTCTATATTTAACTTTAAACAAATAATAAAATAAAACGATAAAAGAAGTATTTTGAAAGGTTGAACTAATTCTTATTTCAATTGTCTAAATGATAAAACCTGTTAAATGAACTCGCTTTCGTTGCAAGATAACAAAACATACGAGTTTTCTAATCGAAGTTTTTTTAATTACTTTAATCGATAAAATGCAAATTTTGACATAATTTCACTGCCACCCAATCAGTCGGAACATTCAACATTAATAAAATAGAATAGAATAGAATATGCTTTATTGTACACCAATTAAAGTAAGTTGGTTAAATATTACAGATGGATATGTACAAATGGCGACCTTATTGCTAATAGAAATCTCTTACATTCAACCTTTGGACGGACAGATCGACAGTTTATAAAAAGAAACATTGGGTAGTCTAGGTGTATTGATTAATTACCTGAAGATCACCCAAATAACAATATGTATATGGAAAATATTACAATCTTAAGTGAATGTTTTCAGATATATTCCAAAATGTACTACCTTCACTGTTGTTTAACAATATTATTTTGAATAGCAAAAAACAATTCGAATCTTTTATTTACATAAACGTTTTATTATCAAACACAAATATTCTTGAAATACTCGTACGACCTGTTCATAGTACCTTAAGTTTTACTTTTTCACCTAACTACATAACAGATGTACCTAGTAAGTAACTTTTATGAATACAAAGTAGTTTCTATTATTACTATTATTCTTCTCTTTATTTACTTTATATACATATTATTTACATTTTTAAACAAACACTTTATAAAAAAATACATTTAAAAATATAAAAAATTGTAGACCACCGACATCGGGTACAGGGACCAAGACACCGGTGGTTAGGACTCCAAAGATAGGAACCTCCTCACTATACGAGCCGTGTCAAGGAGGACTGCCTGGAGGAGGAGGAATGCAGAAGTGCATCAGACCCTTGATCCAGCCGTCCAACGTGAGCCTCTTAAGGTGTTGGTCGAGGCTCTTGGCTATCAATCCGTGAGCAAATACAGATCACTGAATCAACATTCCACATATCGACAATCCCGTGAGATAAATCCAAATATTTGATTTGTTTTTCTTTTTCAACTTTCACGAGATTCTCGTCATGAGGAACGGCGATATCAACAATCATTGCGCGTCGCTCTAATCGATCTATCAGCACAATATCAGGCTTATTGGCAACAATAGTCCTGTCTGTGATAATAGATCGATCCCAATACAACGTGGCCCGACCATTCTCGAGAACTGGGTCGGGCACATACCTGTAGTATGGCACCTCTAGATTCACAATATGGTATTTAAGGGCAAGCTGTTGGTGTACGATCCTGGCTACTTGGTTGTGCCTGTGCAAATCTTTGTTGCTTGTTACCAAGACGAGAACAATCAGATATAATTTGCCTGATTGATTCGCCAGAACGGTGGCATGCCCGACAGATGTCAACCGTACCATCTTTCAGCATAAATTTCCGATAGTTATTATTAATATCGGCGCGATATACAATACGAATCCTATAATTTATTCATGTATTTTGGCAGCCATCTCTAATTTAAGTCACACAAATTTTATAATTATTTAATGGCACACCAATCCAATACAAATCACGTAAATATATTTTACATTATTATTTTCTGTGACGTTATGAAATATGCCTCGTTGGTGCAGTGGTATCATATGCGGCTGCTGCGCTTTGGTCTTTCGATTCGCAGGTCGGACCAGGTGTTTATATGATCTGCAAATATTTGTTTCGGAGTTTGGGTGTTTTCTATGTAAAATATGTATGTATTTACAACAAAAAAAAAGTATTCTATTAGTCAACCTCGCTTTCATATGCGGGCCTGTTGGTCTAATGGTTAGTGACCCTGACTGCTAAGCCAGAGGTTGTGGGTTCAATTCCCACCCAGGACAAATAATTGTGGGTGTAATTTATCTATAATATGTATGTATTTAGAAATATATAAGTATGTTTATCAGCAATCTGTTTACCATAGTAGAGTCTCTGCCTATTTTGAAACTAGATGGCTTTGTTTGTTAGATGTCTGAAATATTATTATTGTTATTCTCTTGATTATATCAAATATACATATGCATAAATTTTATTATTATGATTATTTTGCAGAAAAAGACCCGCGTATGGCATTAAGCTAGGGCGTATTTAGCCCCGATGTTAAAGTGTCGTTCACCTTAAATGTCTTATAAATTTAGTTCGAGTTACTAATATTTTTAAGATTTTGTTTTAGTATTTTAAATTTTCACATGTTACGTCACAAAGCTTTTGACTCCCTTGTCCCGTGTCACACACTATCACATTTCTTGGAGCCCCCTTCCTTAACGTGTGACGTAATTTACAAATGGACTCTTGTATCACAGCATTCCTTTACACAGCATGTAGTTTTGTATTTTTTATTATTTTTGTAATTTAAAAACGTGTTGTTCCCAGGTACCCTTTGGAGATTCATATGGTACATGTGAAAACCGGGCTGGAACTCAGCGAGGCCTTACAACGGCCTGATGGTGTGGCTGTCATTGGTACCTTCGCTCTTGTAAGTATTATAAGGCACGTGTACTCATTGTGTACTCACGCCGCCATCCTTGAATAGGTGAAGACAAATAATAAACTAAAATGGTTCGTGTCTAGTGATGTATACTTTGCATTCCTTTTTTTTTAAGGTTTACTATAAACCGAAATTACTAGTATTCCCGTTAACTCTTCCCGCTAAGCTAAAGTGCTTGTGTTAGGAATGGGTTTACGTCGGTAGTGTACTGGTCAGGATTTTAACCCACGACCTCCTGATCGCTAGTCCAACGCCTTAACCACTAGGCTACCGCCTAAATTGGTCTACATATAAGAACTATCCTTTACATTAAACTGTATTTTGAACAATATTGTACATGAATACTGTTGGCGTGTCTAAAATAAATATTAATTTTTCTTTTCTGTCCTATAGATAGGACGTCACCGGGGCGCTAGCTACGCTCTTGAACAAATTATGTCGGACGTGCCGTACCTGAGCGACCGAACTCAGAACAAGACTGACGAATTTGACATTGATCTCACGTAAGTGCAAACAACATGTTTCAAAACGCTTTTATTATCTTCACCTTTGTGTTTGTGTATGTAACGGAATCTTTGAATCTCATTTTGCACCTTTTTTTTTTTCGTGCGAAAATCCCCTCGGATACCACCTATCGGTGGCATGTCGGACACGAACCGACTAAAACCGCACGCCGTCTCGGGTACTAATAGCCGGAGAACCAGGTATACCCTAGAAATGTAGTCCCTGGTGCCCCGACATACCTCGGGCCATCTACGGACGAGTAGATGACCCCCCCCGTGTGGGAACCCCATGTTCCCTCTACTCCCTGGAAGCGAGCACGCTTCGCAACGCGCTCGCCGCCACCCCGGCCTGCTTCTGCTAGGGTGACAGATGGCCTCACCTGTCACCCCCAGGCCTGCGCTTATGGAGGACGGAGGTCGTTCTGCGACCTCCGGGCGCATGAGTCGCCTGCGGTACCTGGCCCGTTCCCGGGCCTGGCGGACCGGGAGAGTTCTAAGCCTCTCCCGGTCCCGCTCCGCCGTCTCCTTCGCGAGCATAACTTGCTCGCAGAAGGAGATGGCAGAGCTCCACACACTCTCGCCCCGCACGATAGCCGCAATCAGGCTATCGAGAGAGAAAACTCCCACTCCGATGGCCGCCACGAGGTCTCGCCTCTGCTCAACCCACGCCGGGCACTCTGCCAGCGTGTGGAGAGCCGTGTCCACGGTCTGGCCATCGCAGTGGTGGCACTCAGGCGTTGGCTCCTTGCGGATCAGACACAGGTGATCCGCGAAACATCCTTTCCCAGTGATCACCTGCGTCAGTCGGTATGAGAGGGTCCCGTGACGCCTCTCGAGCCAATCCGCCAGTTTTAGGAGAACTAGGCCAAATCTTTCAGCCCAGTTCTCCAATGCCCTGCCCCTCGGGTTCGTGCGCAGGGAATCCCAAGCCTGCGACCAGGCGTTGAAGTCCCCCAGCACAAGAACCGGGTGGGGGCGACAGGCATCGACGACGACGGCCAGCTGGACGAGCCATTGCTCGTACTCAGTTATGTTTCGGTTCGGCGTGAAATAAGCGACTACGACCGCTATATCCCCAACCATCGCCGCTACGCAGCCCCGTCCCCTTGCAACCACTGCAAGAGGTGGAGTGCCGGCTGCGGTACCGTGCACCAGAGCCCCTGTGCCGTCCAAGTCGGTCTCCCAGGCAGGCCCGAGAAACCGATGGACATATGGCTCGGCGACAGCGGCGATGTTGATGGACCACTGTGCCATGCTCTGGAACAGAAGATCCTGAGCATCGGCACCGTGGCCTACATTCACCTGAAGGATGCGGAGATGTGAATCCATCACTGGACTTCCATCCCCGCATCCCGCAGCGAACTTTGCCGCTCTCCAGCGGCACCCCTCGTCTGGAGGCGGAAGGTCGGCCTCCCGGCTTCGGCCCAACTAGACCATCTGGGCCGCCGCGATGGGGCAGCTGACAACCGCTGCCCCCTGTCCACCGGGGCCGAAGCATATTGCTCCGGCCTTCACGCTGTCCAGGGGGCAGCTTCCCGTCTCCGCCACGGCGAGTCTGAGCTCGTCCGCCGTGACAGAGTCGTCCAGGCCCGTGATGCGAACTTCGGTGCATTTAGTGGGCCGGGACACTCGGACGTCAGCTGCATCCAGTGACTCCCTCAGCTTAGCCGCTAGGGCGTCGTCTTTGCAGCCACTGGTAGCGCCGGCGACCTCGAGGAGCCGGGCTCCCGTCCATGTGTTTTTACACCTGACGCCCGGAATCTCGAGGGCTTTGAGGTCCACGTTGGCCTTGACTTTCGCCTAGACCTCGGCGTACCCCACGCCCCTCTCCGCTGCCTCCGCCGTCAAAGTGATAATGACGGCCGAGGAGCGAGGGGCGCGGAGCTTCCTCGGCGCTCCCGTCGCGGCGGCGGTGTCCCTCCTCGCCTTCTTGACCGCTTTATTGGCGGCCTTCCGCCTCTTTTTACTCTCCCCGGCCACCGTCCAGCCCCGCTCCAACGGGCGCTGTGCGGTATCAGCCGGGGCCGAGACTAGGGCTTGGGTTAAATAAAACTAAAACTGTGTTTTTTTATCACACCACACTAATTATGATGTGTTCAAGTTTTTGTGGCAGTCACTCAATTCCCATTCTTTACAGGAGGATGTTCAGCCCTGATACTCAATCGTACTACACATACCAAGGATCTCTGACGACGCCAAACTGCGAGGAAGTTGTCACTTGGATTGTTATGGACCGACCTATCTACATAACTGATGATCAGGTACATTTATCACCTTCTCACTTACCCGTCAATATCCGTGTGGTGACAAAATAAGCATACGGAGTGTCACCACCACTATTTAGCCCATGGGTGTCGTAAGAGTCGACTAAGGGAGCAAACTACGTAGGACAACAGCACTGCAAAGAGAAGGAAACGTCCTCTTACCTCACTCACTCGGTGAAAAGAGATGACAGAAGTGCTTGGCACTGGTTTTCTGTGAGATTATGGTATTACTAGCTTTTGAGTAAAGTAGCAAAGTAGCCTATGTCCTTTCCCACAACTCAAACTATCTCCATACCGAATTTCATCTAAATCGGGTCAGCGGTTTAAACGTGAAGAGGTAACAGACAGATAGACACACTTTCGCAATTATAATATTAGTATGGATTCCACACGATCTGCCCCATTTGTGCCTAAACAGGGCTCTAATTCATAATCTTAAAAAAATACATTCTTAAATCTGCCACCTTTGAAGTGGTATTATTTCTTTATTTAAGAGGTTTACATATCTGACAGTTCTGAGTTCTGATGTAACAAACATAAAAAAATACTGAGAACCATTCATTTTTTTTAATTCAGTTAAAGAGTAAATCTAACCCATCACTTCATCAGTAAAAGATGGTCTTTTTTTTTTAATATTCCTAGTACGGTTTTACACCATCATCCTTCTTTGATTATCACCATGATCGCCACATTTGACCTCTGGTAATCAACTAGTACATCTAATCATTTGTTTATTATTTTGTAACGTGTTATCATTAAAGTATCTTTTCATTAATCATCACGTTCAGATCATATCAACCCACTGATAATCCTATAATACCAATTAATGAGGTAACTTACTCAATACAAAGATACATATCTTTCTTTCTTCTTTTGATATTTACTTCAAGTTTATATTGATACTACTTATTAATATTTTCTCCAACAAGACCGCTAAAGAGCCGTAGATTTAAAGAAATTATGAAGAGTACTAATCCCACCAAATATTAATATTACCTTCTTCAAAAGTTGCTCTACCAAAATTGCAACAATTTTTGCCCTTTTGGGGGCTAAACAATTGTACGTCGGGGTACCAGGGCATTCATTTCTAGGGTATACCTGGTTCCCTGGCGACTGGTACCTGGAGACGAGTTGGAAGACGAGGTCGGTTCGAGTCTGACATAATCACCCACTGGTGGGTGGTATCCGAGGGGAGTTCATTTAATTACAATACAATACAATTATTACTTTTAAAAAGAATTTAGGTAGGTGGTATTTAGGTAGCAATGAATTAAGATTCAATGTAAACTGTAACGAAACCATTTCTTTTTTCACTTTAACAGTACAAAGCATTCTACAGCGTGGATGTGGGCAGTTCCTACAACTACCGCAGTCTCCAACCCTCCAACCGAATCGTTTATAGATCTGTTGCGTCATGTTCCGCTATCCTGATGCCCAGCTTCGCTGGCACCATTATCAGTCTGCTCAGCTGTCTCTCCAGCACCTTGACCTCTGGTATCAACAAAGGCATCTGCGCGATATTGAACGCTAAGAGAAAAATCTTTGGTAATAGTATTAAACATTGCAGTAAACTACATTAGATTCTTTACTTAGTAAGTAGTAACAATGTATAGTTTAATATTTGAGCTTTCATTACAATTATATTGTAGAACTTTAGAAAATAATTGATGTGTGTTGTGCCATAGGTGTTTAAAAATTTCCGAATTTGGTGGCTTTTTAATAGTTTTACTTTTGATTAATTTGTTACTGATTAAATTTATGTTCCTTTATAGGCATAATATTCTCGTTCTTTTGTCATAGGTATTAATGTCTACCTGCATGTTTAAGTTATGATGTTTAATCTATTTTAAAATTTAAAACAACTTAAACTTGACACATTGCACACAGTGGCTAATTCCAAACTAGGCAGAGTCTGTGTCATAACTCGGCTGGTAAAAAACCTATTAATATATTTTTAAATACAAACATATATATTTATGCATGTATATTTTAAATAATGATAAGTAAAGCCTTAGTCCAACCGTAGCCGTCCTATGGCCGAAAGATGACAAATGACAGCCTCGATGGCGCAGTAGTAGTTTATGCGACTGATTTGTGAAATGTTTGTTTCGGAGTTTGGGTGTTCTCTATGTAATATTATACATAAAGAACACCCAAACTCCGAAACAACATATATATGTATTTAAAAAAAAAAGTATACAAGTATTCTATCAGTCAATCTAGCTTCCATAGCACAAGATGTTCGAAACATTATTATTATTAAAATATCGAAAATGAGCCCAAAACATTGACTTTTAATCCAAGAGATTTTTTAAGAACTTAAAACAAATTGCAGAAAAGTGTTTCCATATAATAATAATATGAAAATTTGAACGTTCGACTTATACTTGTACATAACGCCAATTTTTCTAATTGAAAATATTGATGTGAAGTTTTAGCAATAAAGCTTATTTTTGGCAAAAAGTGAGGGCGGACGTAAAACTATATATTTTTTAATATCGCAATTGACTTCACAACACAGTTATCGACTTCAAAAAACGATATGATAACGCGTTATTAAAAAGTGTTGCACAGAATATTCTCCACACGGATGCATTTTACACTTACTTAATCTACACTTGATTAAAGCGCTTGATTTTATCGAACAATTAAGCGCCTGATCTGCAATCAATAAATCAAATTTACGACTTTGGCTTCTGCTCAGCATTACTATCGATTATGTTTAAAACATAAAATAAAGCGATATGGATAAATACATCAAAATATGACATCGAAGCAGTTATCATCAAAATTTCTGTATTAAGGGCCATCAGTTGATTTTTTGTTTTCATGTGAGTGAAGACCATTAAATTAATATTTGTCTTGAGTGGGAATCGAATATAGCAGGATAGCAGTCAGGATCGTTAATCACTAAAATAATACGACCGCCAACAAAATGTGTACAAAATTTTCAAGTCGGTTGGTAAATTGAAATTGTAAAAAGCAAATCCAACGGACAATTAAAGAAACAAATTCACCATTCGTTATGATCAGGATATTATGACCTGTGACGTTTAACAAAGAGTTGTTGATTTGAATTAACGGCTGATTTGAATACTTGCAAATACTTACAACACTGACGCGTTGCTAACACATAGTTTGACATAACCAAACGTGTTATGATAACTTATGGGTTTAGTCAACCGATATAAAATTAGGTTACCTACATTCCATTAATTTTGATGCACTTTAAACTGACTCGTACTGCCCAAAATCTATCTCTAAAGGCAGTATCCTTTTTTTAATATCGCTTTTCGTTTCAACTTTCTTTTTTAGATCGAACTTCCAATCTTCCTATATAATACCTAAATTTTTAGTTTAAATTTTAAAGGGACTAAAATGATAGTCTAAAAATGTGGAATTTTGCATGTTCATGACGTATGTTTCTGTTTAATGTATGTTTTCATATCTAACATTATCTAAAACTTCGTGTATTAAATGCCTAATCAATTTCTAATATGATCATAATCCTGTCATATTGTATTTGAAAATTAATCTACCCGGCTAATAAATGTTTGGCGATAAATCATTAGTTATCAACGATATAACACCAATCGCATTAGCATTAACCGTAAATAATCTTAAATTTTATTTATGATATGTATTATTACATACAAAATACGACTTGATACGCTAAAGTATTAGATCATTCCTAATATCAAAGTATATGAGTATTCTATCAGTCAATCTAGCTTTCATTGTACAAGCTTTGCTTAGTTTGAAACTAGATGGCGTTGTGTGTTAGATGTCCGAAATATTATTTTATTAATATTTTGTAAGATGCCAGACTTTTTTTAATCGAAAGTAATATATTTTTATTTGTTCTTGAAAAAGTCACCAAAGTTGGCGTAGATCTTATGAGCCAGACTAGGCTGTTTCTTTTCAGTCAAGACACCGAGCTCTCAATAAACGATAACGGTTAAAAACTATTTATTTTTAAACGAGTGCAAGTGTACAAGTACATATATGTTTTTGTTGTACATTTAATTTTAAAAACATTATTGTTACGTTAGTAGGGAAATTGTATTATAGTAGAATATGACATAGGTATAGTAAAATATTAATTATGTTATTTACAAAGATTAGGTTAATATTGTTATGTTGTGATCATTGTTATGTATAACGTTGTTTTATAAATAATTTTGAAATGGCTGTGAAGTGAAAATGTCTAAGAAAATATATAATATGTTAAAATTCGTAAAAAAATTGTAGTCAATTATAAATAAATAAATTGTTATAGAATAAATTAAATTATAAAATGAATTAAATATTTTGTGGTTTCATTAATATTTACCAACTGTCTTAATTAATTTTTTACGCAATTTAGTAAATAATAAATACTTAATAGCAATTAAGTTGCTTGTATTTTTAACCGACTTCAAAAAAAGGAGGAGGTTCTCAATTCGACTGTATTTTTTTTTTTTTTTTTTTTTGTATATTTGTTACGCGATTACTCCGGCAATTATAAACCGATTTGAATAATTCTTTTTTTATTTGATAGGTCATACGTCAGAGGTGGTCCCATTGTCACCAGGTCAGGATCTGATGATGGGATCCTGGGGAAATCGAGGGAAACCCTCAAATTTTGTAGGCATATACACTGTTTATCAGAAATTATCTTAATCTATGTAGATTTTTGCATCTAATGGTCACCATCTGATGTTGCTGAGCTGATGATGAAGCTGATGATGAATGGTTTAGGAGTATGGGATCTCTGTAACAAAATTATGTAATACCATCGAATTTGAATGTGTTTGAGTCTAATTAATAAGGACTCCGATCCTATGTGATATTCAGGGTCTGATGATGGAGACGGTAAATAGCCATGGGAACTCTGTAATAAAATAAAGCAATTCCGCCGTGTTTGTGCTCATTTGATTCGTCTCGACTAGGAGCTTCATGCTAGTCGATTTTTAACTAACATCAAAAAAGGAGGGTTTTTGATTCGACAGTATGTTTTCTTTTTTAACCGACTTCCAAAACACAAAAGAGGAGGTTCTCAATTCGTCTGTATTTTTATTTTTTTTATGTATGTTTGTTCCGCGATTTCTCCGTCAATTGTGGACCGATTTTCAAAATTCTTTTTGTAATCGAAAGGGTATGGTCCCGAATTGGTCCCATTACCACCAATTCAGGATCTGATGATGGAATCCTAGAGAAATCGAAGGAAACCCTCACAATTATTGGGAATTTGACAGCCCCGACAACGTGTTTTAGTTACGAGTATTTCTTTAGCCAAACAAACCATGGCAACCGTCAGAGACTGCGCGATATGATGCGCAGAGAACTTGCAGTATTTATGTTCCCACAGTAATTTTCGTTGTATTAAGAAGAAAAGGTTGAAATTTTGTATTCTATCTTGTTAAAATAATTCGGATAGACGTTTTGTTGCTATGGATGGCATCGCATTTCGTTTGTAAGTAATTTTATACTTAATTTATTAAAATAGTTCTGGAAAAAACTCTTAAATTTTGTGTGGGTCAACTTTCTAAGGAGAGGCCTATGTCCAGCAGTAATTTAATATAATCTAACAAACTACAGTTTGTTACTATACATTACGGTACGTAGTGTTTTAAATATCGTACTTATCTACTCATTACAAACATATCCTACACTAAAAATGGTAAAATAAACCCTTTAAAAAAAAAGTTGAACCGACTTCAAACAACACCGACAAAGAGCACTAAAAATTAAAAAATAATTACAAATCTAAGTAAAAAACTATAATAAGTACCCTCAATGTAACAGGTAACATTATAATACCAATAGTCCCTTCTAATCTGTTTGAAGTCGGTGCCAAGCTCGATGCACAATAAGTAATACTGGTCTATGTCAGCTGTATATTAGCACAATGAAAAATTAAGAATTCAAAATAATTCTAATGAAACATCGAAGATTTTGTTAATTAATAAAGACCAACCAGATAAATTACGTGCGCAAACTTATCAACTACTTATTAAAGCATTCAAAATAATAATATAATTGGAGATGTGCGTCCACTTTAGCTCTTTCAACATGTTTTGCGCAGCATGAAGACTGTTGCAGCTGCCGCGCTACATTCTACCATGCCTATCAAGCACCTTGGCTTGGCACCGACTTCAAACAGACTAGAAGGGACTATTGGTATTATAATGTTACCTGTTACATTGAGGGTACTTATTATAGTTTTTTACTTAGATTTGTAATTACTGTCTTAAATTTGAAAAGAAATCTGCAGCACTACGGGCAATGACCAGTGGCAAGTTCCAGGATGAGGTCGCTGGCCACACGGGTCGAGCTGTCGGGGGTGACGTCTTTGGTGTGTAAACACCCTAATGAAACATAACTGCGAATAAATACCTTTTTCAATAAGTTATCATGAATTGCCTGGAAAGGGAACTGACACATAGTTTCTAGTAAATAAATAGTAACATCCTGGAGAAGGGCTCATTATGGGCTAGAAATTGGAGCGTTTAACATACATCCACAAATGGACATGTCCATGACCAGGTCTAAGTCTAAACAAAGACTTTAATCATCGTAGATATTCAGTGGTCTCTGG